CTGCAGTGAATGGGTGCCGTCAGAATGAGAGTCCAAACAGCTGATAAAAACATCACAATAATCCACAAGTAATCCACTGTGGACGGCACCCATTCACTGCAGCCCATTGGTGAGTGAAATTTCTCCAAATCTGTTTCCATGAAGAAACAATCTAATCTACTTCTTGGATGGCTTTGAGAGTGAATATATTTTCAGCAAATTTTCATTTTTGGGTAAACTACTTTAAGTCAGACTTGAAATGCATATGAATGTCATTGCATTAGATCAGAAGATATCAAACCAAGCAGCTCATGCTTTCAAATACTGCAGGATCTGTTATCTAATGAAATCACATTCATGTTATCTGTTTTTTCTACAACTAAAGTCTGTGTGTTCTTTCAGCAGAAACTGAAGTCTCCCATCACTCCAGTGTTGCTCAGCACTCCTGCCAAACTTAATGGACCAAGACCAAATGGTGATCTCTTCTTAGTTTGATGAAATGAAGTTATTTTACCTTATGTAACCCCTCTCTCCCGGGTCCTCACCGCCACACCTCGTTCTTGTTCCGAGTGGGTCTCCGGCATGGGAGGCGGACGCACTAACGAGGAGGCTAAAAACTGCAGCCCCTAGCGTCAGTCGCTAGTGCGTCTCTTGAGATCAGGGGAGTGAGTTTTACCTGCACAGCACTTACTCGCTGGCCTCTGTTACACTCACCCCCCTCACTCCCATCGGGTCACGGCACCAATGTAACCCCTCTCTCCCGGGTCCTCACCGCCACACCTCGTTCTTGTTCCGAGTGGGTCTCGAACCCGGGTCTCCGGCATGGGAGGCGGACGCACTAACAAGGAGGCTAAAGACTGCAGCCCCTAGCACTTACTCGCTGGCCTCCGTTACACTTACATAAAGAGTTTTGGAGTCAGAGCTGAGTGTTTGGACTTACTGGAAAGTTTTTGGAGTCAAAGTTAAGTTTTTGGAGTCTGGGATGAGTTTTCGTAGCCGTGCATATTGTTTAGAGACAGGGACAGATTGTTAGGAGTCAAGGGAAGACTGTTTGGACTCAGAAACGGATGGTTTTGGTTCAGAAGCAGATTGGTTGGAGTCAGGGACAGAGCAGTATTAGGTTTTCAGTCTCATGCGGTGGTTCCCTCAGTGCCGTCATCCTCTCAGCGTTCCTGCTTCTCCTGCTGCTGCTGCTGGTATCTTTTCTCTGGGGTCTGTCAGCAGGTGACGAGCGTATAATGATGCTGCCGCAGCATCACTGTAATTACAGCCGTGAGAGCAGGGCCGAGTCAAGGGGAAAGAGGAGGAGGAGGAGGAGGAGGCAGCGATGCAGGAACGACGAGCACTTACTCCTCCACGAGTGTTTACAACAGAAATGTTTGGGAATTTCTCTCTCTTTTTTTCTTTTTTCTCACCAGCTCCAGATGGTGTGTGACTCTGAGAGGACA